GTGTGCTACTGCTACATTACATTCTAGATACTGCTCACTGATAAGGGAGACATGATTGTGGAATTGTGCCTTTATACCCTCCCTTATATCATTAAAAAAGTGGCTCTTCTCATCTCACTTTTTCTAGAATTTATTCCATAGTCATTGCTCAGTATGATCACTACTCCTAGAGTTTTATGGAAATGAGTAACAGAATGATAAAATTCCAAGTGTACACAGGAAGTCAGTACAGTACACAGGAAAATATTGTAGAAAATGGTCCTATATCCATGTAGTAGATTCATCCCCAGTTCTTTGTCTATTACAAAGAAATGAATGCCAAAGGTCCCCGTCAGCTTCCTGAAGTGTGTTTCTGACTACAAATCAAGGGAGTTGAGAGTCTCCACGTGGAACAGTCCTCCATTGAATTCCCTCCGACCACTGACAGGGCTGTGCATGGTCCTGGCCTCAGACAGAGTGCACTGGTGAGTGGATTACTACAGACAGACTTGAACGTTCAATACACTATCACCTGTTCCCCTTTGACTTGTTTTTTCACCTAGTTCCTATTTCCTTTTACCTGGACTGCATTGTCCTGTGTTTTATTTTGTTGCCATTGTTGAGTTTTGATAATTTTCTTTATATAAAATCCAGGTTAGGTAAATCTTTAGGGACAGTAATTAGATGGATAGTTCTTTAGGATTATGGCAGGGGAGATTAGGGAAAATGGGGAGCTAATAATAATGGGTACAAGACTGAAGGAAATGTTCCAAAACTGATTGTGGTGATGACTGCACATTTAAAAATATTGACCTCGCTGAATTGTATGGGATGTGAACTACATGCCAATACAACTGTTTAAAAATATAACATAGCCATTAAAGGCAGCCAGCTGGCCATTTATTCATTAGATATGGAGTGCCTATTACATGTGAAGTATAGTAGCACCTGGGGCACAGCAATAAAATAAAAGCAAGCCCTGCCCTCATAGAGCTTACATTCTAGTTAAGGGAAATAGAAAAAAAATTAGGTATGTAGTCTATGAGTCAGAATTGAATTGACTCTTTTAAGAATGTTTTTGTTTTAGCTATCATGTATCATATAGTGATATGGGATGTTGTGTTAGCTTTTAGACACATCGACGTGTATTATATGTAGCACATAAGTTCACAGACCCTTGTACAACTGATCAGAGGTTAGGTCATGGATTTTTCCTGTTGTGCAATTCCCACATCTGTAACGTTAATCAGATGATTATTTTTGTATTGACTGTTGCCTAACATACAGAGCCCTGTGGCATACATGTTGGACTACTAACCACAAGGTCTGCAGTTCAAAACCACCAGTTGCTATGAGGGAGAAAGATGAGGTGTTCTACTCCCCTGGTTAGCCTCAAAACCTCAGAGCAGTTCTACCCTGCTATGTAGGGTCACTATGAATCAGCATCCACTTGATGGCAACATGGTCAGAGAGAGACACGGATTCTCTGCTATACAGCTGAGTGTGTGTACACTGGTATGACATTTCTGGGGGCACTTGGGCAACACTAAAAAGTTTCTGCCCTCTAATGAAACTTTCAGCACTTTCCTATCCAGACCTAGAGGGTTTCCCTCTGAACTAGTGGTGCCCAAATTTTGGTTGGCATCGGGAACGTTTGGGAAACTTGGTATAAACGCGAAGGTCCAAGATACAAACGGGGGACGCACACGTGCACACACCACGCACTCACTCCCATGAGCGTGGGCCTCTGCAATCAGCAGGCGTCCAGATCCAAACGCAAAGACCCACGAGAACCTTTGCCACAGTAGCCCCATCTGTAGCAACAGTAACTGAAACTTGTACTTTTGAAAGAGCATGTTCATTTCTGGGAACCCATCCTAAGAATGTGGCCATATATTTAACTATAAAGAAAAGCCAGAGCTAGATGTATGACAGCACAACATTGTAACAAATTGTTCCCCAAGGAAGTGGTTACACTAGAATAATGGTGCAGTCCGTTAAGTGTTGTGTTCACAGGGAGGGAGGGGAAAAACAAGAGTTGTGTTCACAACACTCCTCTAGTACTTTGACGCGTCCTCCCCCCACTATCAGGACACAAGCTCTACCTCACAAATCGGCGAGACCGGAAAGTGTATGTACATCAGTCCAGAGATGAGCTTTCAACACATAGCATCCAAGACAGATAAACCCCTCAGAAACAGTAATGGGAGTACGATACCATGAGGGTATGGGGAGGAAGGGGGAACTGATAGCAATGATGGATGTATAACACCCACACGCCCCACTGAGGGGGCCAATAATGGAAATTTGGGTAGAGGGTCACAGTGGACGGTGTAAGATATGAAAAAAAATTTATTAAGGGTTCACATGGGTGGAGGGGCTGGGGAAGGAGGGAAGAAAGAGGAGCTGATAGTAAGACTCAAGTAGGAAGATTATATTTTGAGAATGAGTGGCAACATATGTGCAAGTTAGCCTGATATAATTGATTTATGGATTGTTGTTGTATCTCTAAGAACCTCCAATAACATGGTTTTTTTTCTTTAAAAAAAGTGTTCAACAAATGCAATATATTTACTTATATATAAATTATACACTTAGGGAGTGGAAACTACAGGTTAGGAGACAATGTATAGAACTTACGTGAATTCTGACTTCAACAATGTTTTAAAGATAACATTTCAGTCAGTTGGGAACTTTTGCCCACTAGTCTTATGAACAACCTGATCCTGTGGTTGTTTGTAGAGTCCTTACCTTCTAGGAAAGGAGCCCTGGTGGCACTTAGGCAAGCACTGGACTGCTAATCACAGGTGGGCAGTTCAAACCCACCAGCCATCCCTCAGGAGAAAACAGACTATATGCTCCCATAAAGTCAGACAGCCTTGGAATAGAGGGTTGCTGTGAGTAGGAATCAAATACAGTGAGACTGGCTGGGTCAGGTGTACCTTCTAGGGCCAACTTTGGTAGTGCTGTGGATTAAATATTGGCCGGCCAACCCCAAGTTAGCCTTGGCGACATAGCTACACATTGGGCTGATTAACTGCATGATTAGCAGTTTGATACCACCAATTAACTCCATGGGGGAGAGAGGAGGCTCTCGACTTCCAGAGTGGCAGTCTCAGAACCCCACTGGGGCAGTTCTATTCTGTCCTACAGGGTCGTCATGAGTTAGAACTCACTCGACGGCAGTGAGTCTGGTTTTTAAACAAAGTTGGCTTTTCAAACTCACTAGCCATTCTGTGGGGTAAACATGAGGCTGTCTAGTCCCATAAAGGTTCATCATTTCAGAAATCCTAAGGAATAATAGTTCTACCCTGTTAGATAAGGTTATTTTGAGTTGAAATTAATGGTGGCTGTGGGTTGACTTTTCGGTTTAGCTTGTAGAAATACACTTAATGTTTTCAGATATCCAGAGAAGGGGCATAATAGGTGGGAGTACAGACAAAACCATGTTAGTCATAAGCGAATTTTGGGGGGAAATCAATCTAATTTTGTGTATGTTTTAAATTTTCCATAATGGAAAAATTTCTTCAGGTCCTTAAAAAAATAGCAGAGAGGGAACCGATTACATGGAACTGTGTGTGACCTCCTCCCTGGGGGACAGACAACAGAAAAGTGGATGAAGGGAGATGTCGGACAGGGCAAGATATGACAAAATACCCATTTATAAACTATCAAGGGCTCATGCGGGAGGGGGGAGCGGGGAGGGAGGGGAAAAATGAGGACCTAATGTCGGGGGTTAAGTGGAGAGAAAATGTTTTGAGAAACGATGTACAAATGCGCTTTACACAATTGATGTGTGTATGGACTGGGATAACAGTTGTATGAGCCCCTAATAAAATGTTAAAAGAAAAAAGAAAAGAAGAAAAAATAGCATAGAATCCATCCTTTAGATCTTGGAAAATTTTCCCTATCAAAAAAGTAAGTCCACAGAGCATTATGAGTCCCCTTATACTGGTATGCATGAATAAATAACAGCCCAGCAGAAGGGTTAAATGGCATATGCCAAGGAAGTAAACTTCTCCCTTGTTCCAGGAGAATTTCCTACAAGTTCTATAATCTGGCCCTGTCCAAAACAGTAGTCCATTAAACCATATGGCAGTTGGTCTTTTAAAATGTGCTACTGTTAGTGAGGAACTGGACTCTTAATTCCATTGTATTTCAATTTAGATTTCTATGGCTCCATGTGGTTAGTGGGCAGTACTGATGGAATTATGGATATCTTCTCCTTTGCGTAAACATTTTTCTATGATAAATATGTATTGCTTTTACAAAAAGGAATGAGTAAAGGTTGCATTTTGGTTCGTTTGTGTTTTTAACATGGACTCTTGGCTTCAAAGAACTATTCTAAAACGAGGATGAAGCTAACGAAGCAGGCCACACTGCATGGCAGCTTTCAAGGAGCGATTACAGGAATAAGCAAAAGCAGATGGCTCACATTCAGCTCTGTCCTCTCAACTCTCTTCCTTCTATTTAGTCACATAAAAAGGTTTTGCTTGCTGAGAGAGTTGAGTATGGATGTGTTACCTAGTTCAGAACTCCCAGAAAACAGGCCCACAGTATCGAGTCAGTGTTTACTTGCTGGATTTTCAATAGCACAGAGAGGCTCCAGGACTGATCTGCTCACGACAGTCCAAAAAACACACTGCCATCCAGTCGATGCCGACTCACAATGACCTGAAAGGACAGGGTGGAATGCCCCGGTGAGTTTCCAAGACTCTCTCGAGAAGTGACTGGTGGTTTCAAACTGTGGACCTTTCCGTTAGGAGCCCAAAGGGTCACCAGAGCACTGCTAGAGCTCCTCATAGTGAGGAAAAATCTGAACTCCAGCCCCTTACAGGACCTTTTGCGATTTATAACCACTGAACTGGGAGCAATGTCAAGCAGAATACTGAAAGTGTCGAAATGGATTTCTTATGGTGGCAGGCAGCAAACACGACTAGCCTGGCTCCAGCTGCAAGGACTGGAGGGTGTAAGCGGGGAGGTGACAGGAAAGTAGAAGTCTGAGCATAAAGACAACTAAGCCAGGTGAGATTTTTTATTGACTTATAATTTTCAGCAAAGTGTTTAATCAAGTATCATATTTACATTTCTTACATAATGTACATTTTAGAATAACTATAAAGATAATGTACTTTGCTCCATTTACAATGATGTACTACAAGAAAACTACGTACATGTATTAGATACAAATCCTCTACAGACTAATTAAAAAGTAAATGGAGTGTTGGTTATACATTCTTTAAAATATACCTTTTCACAGGTAGCAAGAAATATTACATGTAATACATCTTCATGACTGGAATGACCCAGAATATCACAAAACACTCAGGTAAACACAAAGAAAAGTAGTTCATCATTTCAAAAAGTCAACTTTTGGCTTTTGTGTAAAATAAACGGTGCCGGCAATCTTTGTAATGGTGCAAGCTTTCCTTGTTTAAAATGGACACTCAGAAGAGAGGATTGAAGAACAATAAAAAAAATTTTTTTAAATCTAGAATGTAAGAGTGAAAAGCTTAATATTATTGCTTTTTTGCCATTAGTCCATATGATATGGATAAAATTACGTGCACCAAAAACTATGTCAGCAAAACCCTTGTTACAGATGTCAGGTTTCAGCTAAACTCAATCTTTTAATTATCTCTCATTTGGAAGCATCAAAGAATTGGTAAGACTCTGGTGAACTAGAATTACCTATATAATGTTTTACTTTTGTCGGTGGTGGTTACCGAATTTGGGGGGCGGAGGGTTGAGGAATGTCTTCAAATCCCAATCTTTTCCATGAAGGTAGTAATACATATCAGAGTCCTCCAGACTGTGTGGAGGCTTTGTCATCAGAACACAAGGAAAGCTTGAGGTCATTATCAGATTGTGGTGCTTCATGATGATTTCAAACCAATTCACAAAACGAGAACAGTCAGACTTGGGTTTGGGTGTCATTTCTGCCACCAAGTAGCAAATTGAATTTGTAAAACAAGAGGCGCAAAGCTTGGTGTAAAATTCTATAAAAATACGTCATTTTCCTAGGTCACGTCCATGGTGGAAAGCACTATCAAACAGAAGTTACCTTGACAATGTAAGAGTGTTTGTGGAATGTCTTATTACTCAAAATAGGTAATCAAGTCTTAAATGCGAATTGGTTTATTATGACCATACTTTACATCTGTGAAGTTCTATTTTTAAAATATTGCTTAACAGATCAAAAATGTAAGTTGTCTTGACTATGAAAGTATAAAACATTTTCCTCCCAAAATACATCCACGATGAACTAAAGTATATATTCCAAATTAAATCGACAGGTCTAAAAATGTAAACATTTAAGTTCATTACAATCTACAATGGAGACAGGTAAAATTAGGTAGGCAAACACTGTAGTGAATCCCTGGAAGTCTCGGCATTTCTAAGGATTCTACCAAGGATCATTTTTAAAAACTTGTAAGTGGTGTAGCGATGAAGCATTCCAAGTAATAACAGGAAACAGTATTTTATGAACTCTTGCTCAGTAGCACTGCTATCCTTATTGTGATCACCTACTTTCTTTAAGACACTAGTTAACAGAGATATTACAAGGAATCAGAAACCATTATTCGTAGACTAGCTATGGAAGGGGCGGTGGTGGTAGTGGTGAACCCCGCTGACTTCTGAAGTTCAAGAGTATTATTAACATTGTTTACGTTATAATGTTTCACAATGCATGGACTACTTCACAGCCTAAGAAAACACGGATTTGTTACATGCTATACAATGGATACTATTATTGGTTGGCACAGTTAACTTTACTTAAAAGCCAACCTACTTTGTAACTACTCTGTAACTCTTCATTTACTTCAAAGTCTCGGTTTATTCCATTATTTCTGCCACAGGAGTCTCGGTAGTTTAGAGAAAAAAATCAAGCCTTAGAAAAAGCCATGATCCTCTTGAGTGCAAGTCCAAAAGCACTGCTAGCCATTCGACACTGATTACTGCCACGTTAACCACGCGGTGCCCCGGCTGAGCACGCCGAGAGCCCTGGGCGGGTCTGAAGCACCACTGGCTGGGTCCCAAAGGAAGGAGACATGGGCCTCCTCAGAGCAGGTCCTTGGGTGAAGCAGCGGGGCAGCACAAGGGCAGAGCCAGGTGCTTGTCTTTCCTCTTTCTTTTTCTATTTATCTTGTAAATGTGTTTTGACAGTTTTTTAGCCTTGAGCCTCTTCAGAAAATAAATTTCAAAGTACATTCTAATAAAAATGTTACAAATCAGAGTTCTTTTGTTGTTGTTGCCTTTAGGTACAGTACCTTAAAAAGCAAGTGATTTGTGATTCTACTGTAAAACAGGAAAGACTGAATGACCCTGTTTTGTTATTAAAATGCAATGCTTAGAATAAGCCTTTCCTTAAAGATAATTCACAAATATGGGTGTTGTAGGCATCTCCTTATTCTAATATAGAGTGACTATTACTAAATAAGCATTGTATGCATACATTTTAGCCAAATTATTCCTGTTTAGATTCTGACTTTATATTTAGTCAATGTATAAAAACCTAAGTTTGTAGAGGAAACTGTTAGAATACTTATTATCTACCAATTAAAAATAATTTCTCCATTTATTTGATAACCCGAGTTTTAAAATCTTACTAGACAGACTATGTAGTAATATGCACATAAATTTGTAAAGAAGATTAAGCTTAACTATATTGAATGATTACACTAAAAATGAACGTAAGGCAAATTATTTAATTATCCTATATCTCTGACACAACAAGCAAAGCTGAAATTAGATAAAGTAACTACATATTCTCAAAATGTGTTGAAATTAAAGTGACTGTGATGTACATAACCAAATACTAAGGCTACAAAAATGGTATAAAGATGTACATTGTGTGCAACACATGAGAGATGAAGAATTCAAAAAGCAAATTAGTTGCTGTATAAACTAATAAAAATCTGATTTTTCTTCTTTTAGACAGACCTTTCTTTCAGTAAGAGCAAGAGCAAAAATGTACCTTGGAAAGTTTGAATTTCAAACACAAAAATGTCCTGTATTATGTTATAAATCAACTTTTCTATAAAAGCAACATTTTGATGTAAGCATAGTTTTTGCAATATTCAAGTAACCTTGGAAATACAGTTCTATTATCTCCATAAATGTGGCCATGTTTCATGAAATCAGCCCAAAATGAAGAGCTACCACTGAGTCTGTGTATGTGCGGGTCCAATGTTTTACGGTTTCTCTTCATAAAACTGAATAAGTTGAAAGGACTGAACTGTGTCTACCTGTACAGCCTTTATATAGACACTGAAATACAGGACAATTACTTGACATGTGCACAATTATTTATGAGCAAATGGGGGGGGCACGTATTATCTATTTCCAATAAATCAATCATATATTTGTGGGTATGATAGGTAATCTATGAAAAATAATACCACCATCCAAAAGCACACTAATTCTGAACCACGAAAAATCACTGGAAAGCTACAAAGCATAATCTTGAGGCAGGCAAGACAAATGCCTTCCATTCAGTGCGCACGTGCTTGACTGAATGATCCTGGGCATGATGCACGGAGAAACCAAGGCTACAATCCACGATGAAAACGGGATTTTGTCTAACCCCTTAGCACTAACCTAGAGACGGTTTAAGTCTAAACTTTACTTTCATCTATACAAGACAGCCTATTAAACAGGCTTTTGCTTTTAAAAAAAGAAAAAGGTCTTAAAGAAGGTTCCTCTCCTACTAGAGATCTATATTTTAATTCATAAAAATAACGATGAATAGGCACCTTTTTCAAAACTACTCAATATCTACTAAAATTAAGTAGACTTAAACCAGTAAAAAATCTTGAGTTTTCAGCTGTACATATTATGGGGTCATCAGATTTAATATGGTCTCCTTCTCAAAGAAAAATTTAGAATTTCTGTGAATCTTGCTGGAAACGATTTAGTTTCTCTGGATTATTGGATGCCATTTGGGAAAAATCACGAAAAATGTCTTGGTATGTTTCATCACCTGCATGAAAATAAGATGACACTTTTAAAATGTATACAATTATATTACTAATAAACAGCATTCATCTTTTAAGGTTAGTAACTATTTTATCATTCATTACAATAAAGGCTTGTGCAGATGAGCATTTTTAGAAGGAAAGGGACTAACTAAACATAAATGCCAGAAAGTATTTATCGAAAGAGAAGGAAAAAAAGGCAATACCTGCAGAAAGCACCTCAGATGCAGCCAAGAGGAAAGTTCAGTGTTAGAAAAAGAGCAAAGATGCAAGTGACTTAGAGCAACATCAAGCAATACATTTATTAACACGTGAGAAATAAAAGCCGCTCTAAACGAGGTATAGTACACAAGCCACTCTTCAAATGTGTCCCGTGAAGGTGACCAAAAGAAATTACCAAAATCAAATACGAATGTTTTTGATGGATGCAAGTTATTACAAAACAAACTGATTGGTGGGAGAAGGGGTCTCCCATGTTAACATTAGCTTTTAATTAAAAGTCATTCTAATTTAAATGGCCCGTGAAAAAGTCGCTTCTTTCATCAGACTTTAATGCTTAATTCAAACTAATGAGTTCACTAGTAGGCATACTGCTGCTTAGTAAGCCAATAGAACAATAAAGCTTAGAAAACGATGATAATAATTTTACATGTAGTTATAAGTTTTTGTTTACTGTAGATCATATGAGTAAGAACGCTACGACAAAAAAAGAATAGATACTAACGGTATCTGCTAAATTGAAAGTAATAACAGGGCCGGGTTTAAACAGCACGTATATACACAAATATTAATTAGATTGATATTACTATAGCAAATTGAATACTATTTTCCTTGTCATGAAAAACTAAGTATAGAAACAATACCCAAATACAGACTAACTCCTCAGGCAAAGGATGTGTATAAAGTAAAACCTATTTCCAAGAACCATCAGTCATCATGAGGGCTTCCTTGCCAACCTTGGCCTCACCCAGGAAGCAGCTTGTCATGCTACTGTCCCCAAGACTCAGACCACCGAATGCTATCTCAGATGATCACTGCGGCCACCTGGCTTAATCCGTATTTCCCAGAAAGTGCCTTGCATCCATCTTATAACAAACTAATTGCTATGGTTGTTGTTAATAGTGCAATAAGCTGTATTGGCTCTTTAAAAAACAAGATTTTTGAGGTACTAAATAAATTCAATAAAAAGTTGAGGGAAGTGAGCAAAGAACAAGTGGACAGATCTAGCAGCCTGGGCCAGATTCTCCATGAAACTTTTGTTAATTCTTTGAATATGGAGCCTCTTTTAATAGTTACTGTGCATAAAAAGCTATTTATTAAAATCTCTACATAATTTTCATTTGGCCCTGGAATATTCTGATAACCTGATCAAATTAGGCCTAAGCCTACTGCTTTATTTTTGAAAATAAAAAAATGGTAAGAAGGTTATCTTAATATGGTGGCTGAGACTAACCTCTACCTCATATAATTGTTGCCCCAAAAAATAAAACAAAAAAATCCAAACTGATATAGTGGAGCAACTGTAAGGCAATCCAACTTCACGCATTATTTTGTAAAGTTTGCTCTTCATTAAAAGGCAAACTATAATCTCTTCCCATTTTTAGCCATTTCTCAATCCTATAAAATCAGCTGTGAAGGAAGCAACATTAAATAGCCATTAACAAACCATACAAAATATTTTTTAATCTTTCTTATTCTTCGATGTTGAATTAAAATATTTATTGTAAACATTATAAATATTTTTAAAATACTGGAGCCTGGAGTTTTACTTTCCAAGAAAGTATAAAGTGCAGATTATCATAATACAAAAATACCACACTGATTTTACCATTCAACATCAAAACTAACTTAAAAGGCACACATTATACATTCAAGAATTAGGAAGAAGGATCTAGCAGACGCTAATACCAAATATTTTACAGATAGCACCAAGTGAACATTCTCAAGTGTTACAACAGTACAATGGCAATATATGGCTTCTAATATTAGAATGCATATTTTGTAGAACAAGCTGTAGGACTTTTCTTTCCTTTTTGTAGTTTCCTGTTTTTGTTTTTATATCATCTAATACCTATTACACTAGTACATTTTAGTAGAACCATTGTACCATGCAAAAACAAATGATAAAATCTTTCATTTGTTGACTTAAATGCTTCCTTGAAGGAAAGTGTTGGTGCTACTCACTACACTAAATCATTGGTTCCACTGACTGAATACATTTGAAAGGCTAATACGATACAAGAAGAAGTTTCCACCTTCACACAAATTAAACTTTTGTGTTAACATTCAGTTTCTAACAGGACGTTAATTAATGTACTGTCAACATACTACCTTTTAGACCTCAAAATGTGTTGGCAAAAAGCAAATGTATAACAATAGTTACTAAGATTTTATTAGTTAACACAAATGGGACTTCAGTGTGATTCTGTTTACTTTAAACATAGTTTTGATCTTTTATAGTTTTTCCCAAAGCAAACATAATTTGTCTATACTAGAATACACAAACAACAACCCAGAATACTTCCCCCAGGAGTGTTCATATAAATACATGTGACAGTTCACTGTAACAGTAAACAACTAATCACCAATATTTGTAAAATATCCTTTGGAGGGCTAAGCCCCCTATTTCCCTTGAGATAATTTCCATTTGTGCAAGGGCAGTTCTGAGCTTTCAACATTCTTACACTGATAGTGTAAATCGCTTTTAATTTTTGGTATTCAGAATAGTCAATGCAACAGCAGTTATGATGATCCAAGATTGTGCTGATTTTTCTCTTGAAATGTATACCTTCAAAGTGAGGGCTCTATGTGAGGTTCTTTATAACCACCCCCAGTTTACAACTGTGCCCCTCCTGAGTTGGAAAGGTTCCTTTTTCTAAATGACTACATCAGTGGTTTCCAGCCTTTACCCACTACTTATTACTATAAGCAGTAATTCTCAACTGTCTGAGACTCTCCAAACCATCAAAAAGAGTCATGGAGCCAGAGACTGGGAAGCACCAAGCTGGTCTCCAAAAATTGAGTGCAGCAGATGACATTCTACTAGCCACCTAGGCCTCCTTAGAGTTGTAGGAACTGATAAGAGGGGCACACCTTCCTATCTGAGAGTTGTAGGAACTGATAAGAGGGGCACACCTTCCTATCCGAGAGTTGTAGGAACTGATGAAACTAATAGAGAGGGGTCCCTTCCTATCTGAATTCTTATTTTCTTTGCAAAAAGAAAGCATGAGTGCCAGACCTATATGAAGAGTAAAGGTCAGAAGCTGGATTTTCTATAGAATAGGCCAGTCACTGCCGAAGATTACATCTGATTTCTTTCAATGGTAGGATGCTTCATTATCAAAAGACTAAAGTACTTGCTTTAAAAACAAATTCCCCTCCCCAATACGTCTGCTGAAAACAAATGGGTGCATAAGCAAATGTGGTGAAGAAAGCTGATGGTTCCCGGCTATCAAAAGATACAGTGTCTGGAGTCTTAAAGGATTGAAGGGAAACAAGTGGCCATCTAGCTCAGAAGCAACAAAGCCCACATGGAAGAAGCACACCAGCCTGTGTGATCACGAGGTGTTGAAGGGATCAGGTATCAGGCATCAAAGAACAAAAAATTCATATGATTGTGAATGAGGGGGAGTGTGGAGTGGAGACCCAAAGCCCATCTGTAGGCAACTGGTCATCCCCTGATGGAAGGGTCACGGGGAGGAGATAAGCCAGTCAGAGTGCAGTGTAGCAATGATGAAACATACAACTTTCCTCTAGTTCCTAAATGCTTCCTTTCCCCCCGCTATCATGATCCAAATTCTACCTTACAAATCTGGTTAGACCAGAGGATGTACACTGGTACAGATAGGAACTGGAAACACAGGGAATCCAGGACAGATGATCCCTTCAGGACCAGTGGCGAGAGTGGTGATACCGGGAGGGTGGGGGGAGGGGAGGGTGGAAAGGGGGAACTGATTACAGGGATCCACATATAACCTCCTCCCTGGGGGATGAACAACAGAAAGTGGGTGAAGGGAGACATAGGACAGTGTAAGATATGACAAAATAATAATTTATAAATTATAAAAATTATCAAGGGTTCATGAGGGAGGGGCGAATGGGGAGGGAGGGGAAAAATGAGGAGCCAAGGGGAAAAATGAGGAGCCAAGGGCTTAAGTGGAGAGCAAATGTTTTGAGAATGATGAGGGCAATGAATGTACAGATGTTCTTTACACAATTGATGTATGTGTGGATTGTGATAAGAGTTGTATGAGCCCCCAATAAAATGATATTAAAAAGATGCCTGATTTTGATAACGCTAAAAATTAAAAATAATAAACAAATTCCTAGGTATAACCCATGACTACAATGACTGTCGATATGTTGTATACTTGTACTAACAAAATTGGCAATGTTCTGTGATACATTTATAGTAACGACACTGCTGAGGCTGCTCACCTACAAGTAAATACCTTGATAGGTGGATTCTCGGTTTAAAGGTTTGACAGTACAGTTTCATGAGCTATCCAGTTAACTGTCCTGATGTTCTTGAAAGTGGCCATCCGAGGCACATTAACTGGTGTCTGTTCAACTAGCGCAACAGAAGGAGGAACACCAGGGAGAAGAGGCAGATGTGGAAAGTGTGGCTGAGTGCCTCCTCCTTTGCCATCAGACCAGAGGAACTAGATGGCACTTAGTTACATTCATGAGCATTTTGATCAAAGATTCATAGAAGAACTGTAAACGAAAGGGGGCGCTTCCACAGAGAAAGGATTTAAAGTTCTCATAGACTCCAGACTTCCTGGAGCCACAGAGAGGGGATGAATTCCTGAAACTGTTGCCCCTAGGTAATCTTTAAATCTTAAACCAAAAACAATCCCCGAAATCAACCTAAAGCTGGACAGTCGCTTAGCTTGGTTAGTAAAAAGGGTCTTCCTTGAGCATTATGCTCTTTTGAGGTCTATCTATCTGGGATCAAATGTACAGCAGGATCTCGAGAGAGTAGATAGGAACTTAGGGAGCAGTGACTTTACGGTAATGAGGGAGGAGCCGTTCAGAAAAGGAGGGTGAGGAGAGTTGTACACTTCAGACTGTATTCAATATCCCTAAACTGTACATGTAAAAACAGTTGAATTAATATATGTTCTGTCTATGTTGGGAAAAAGTATTGAATGTATATGTTCTCAATGACAACAATAAAATAATGAAAATCTAGGGGAAAATTACTTAGAAATCTGAGGATGATTTTTTTCAATTGCTATGGACAACAAACTTTAAAGGATCTCTAATGAAACAACCAACTAAAGTCAATGAGAGAATAATTTAGAGTAAAAGCACACAGGGGAGGGGGAGAATGAGCTGCTGCCTGTGAAACTATATCTGCTCCCCAAAGACTCACAGAGGGAAAGAAAAGTAGCTAGAAAAGCCACATCATTTCACCACATCACCTGTATAAGTATGAAACTGCGCGACTTCGAGTATCAGGCCCTCAAAATGAGCTAGTCTAATTATCACTTACGTGATCCTCAAATAGGTCAACATTGTATTCATTCTGCTGATACATCTAGAATTTTGGAGTATTTTTTTTAACCTCTAAACTGAAAATGAGGTTGGTGGGAAAGTTTGTTTCAAAATTAAGCTCTTCTCCAATTTTTCATTTAAATAGATTGGAAAAATGTTTTTACCTCAGAACGGAAAAAATGTATATCCATATGCTTTTGTATATGCCCACTCCTCACTTGTGAACATGGTTAGAATCCAAAGACCAAGTTGTTACAGGAAAATTGGTATTATGCAAAAGTGGAGGATGACCACATCAAATCACAAAGCGAAAGGTGCCAAATTAGATTATCACCTAACTGCCAAACACTGAGGATCATGGCCCAGCCAACGGACACTTAGCATTAACTTATCAGTCCATGTTACTCTCACTTTGCACCTTAGCACTTGCTACTGCCAGATGTACATTTGATGTGCAAAATATCTGAATAGATTCTTTTCATTACCATCGTATATGCAGAATGTTAGCTGAGATCCGCAATAAGTGAGGAGTAGGTGTAAACTTATACATAAATGACAGTGAAAAGAGTCATCTGAAGTCTCCTAATGGTGGCAGCAGAAGCCCAAGGGTGGAACACGAGGTGACAAGAACACAGAAGGCCCTAACCTTTCAAGCTTCCCAACTCCAGAGAAAAGTCCATCACTGACCTTCTGACTAATCACTTGGGTGTAACCTTCATCAGCAAACACCTTAAAGAAAGACCAGCTGACCAAACATTTAAGTTTAAATTTTCAGGGGGAGAAAAAAAATCATTTAACTTAAAATCTTGACGTGCACTCTTAGCTCACAAATATCAGTTCATATCCTTTGAACAATTTTTATTTTAAAGTGCTTAAACACTAAGGCCTCAAAATTGGCCTAGTAATACTATCAATTACTTACATCTGTTAAAAAATTATAACTTATTTAAAATCTAACATTCAAGTTTAAAACAAATAGGTGAAATCCAGAATTAATGCTGAAACTTCACCCTTAATCAGCACTCTTCCAGCGTGGTATATCATGAGTCAGTATTACTATATGATCCATAGGATTAAAAAGGGCACCCTAGATTAGAAGCATCTAGCTGGTGTGCCTCTATTCTCAAAGTTCTTACCTGCTCCCTATTATATCAGACCAAAAATAAGTAGTCAATGCAGTCTTCTGAGAAAAGAAGGGTCTCACACATTAACTACATGTTAATCTGGTTAAAAAATAACAGTAAAATGGCTGAAGCAGGAATAATGTACAGAGATCCTAGCACATATTTAAACAATAAGTTAAGATGTTATTACCAGGCCACTTTCAAACTATATTAAGGTTCATTAAGGGGGAAAAAATACATACATACACATATATATATTCACTGTAAACTGAACATTCTCAAGTATTTTAGTCATGAACTCCTGAATTTTTTAAAAAAGGAATATGTACATAAATTTAAAACAGATAAACCAGTGACCCATACACACCAACTCCTGAAACTAGAGGTCCAGTAATGACTCTCTTCTTGGTGTAGGATGACTAGTCTGGTGTGTACATCAGAGAGAGGAATCAGAACAGTGTTAATTCTTCCACTTCTTGACATCTTGACTCAAAGGTGAAAACTCATTGAAACGGAATGAGCCGATCATGAGTTGAGATTTCTCTAGTGAGAGCAAGTCTACTTTGCCATCGGTTTACAGTGTATTCTTCTACATGTGACACTGGTTCAACAGATACTGTACACAATTACTTTAGGCAACGTTGCATGGTGAAATAAGACCTAGTTCCTCTCTTAAACTAACTTGACTGCCATTAAGGACTTCTTTACGTACTGGTAAGCTATCATTTGAAACCTTCAACTCATTCCATATTGACTTCTTATATGCCAAACATATGATTTGTTTGTTCCCTGAACACAATTTATAGAAATTCCCTGAATGACAAAAAGGAAACAATTACATTATATTCACTTGACAGCTAAAAAGAATTCCAAAGAGAAAACACCTATTGTGCTGCTGTCAGTATATAAAGAACACGTTATCATTCCATTCACTTCACTGGGATGTATACGGAAGACATCTGTACAGCAGAGGAGCAGTCAAGAAGTTAAATACTGCACATAAATGTGTGCCACAATGGGAAGAGGAGTGGTTTTTAATGAGCTAGCATTCAGCCACCCAAAATTTCAGTACGTACAGTACACTGCTCCGAACCCAATTTACAAGTAGGTTTTAAAAACTCTAGAGTGTTGAGCTAGTTGTGCTAGTTTGCTACAGATCTATGAATCTTCCAATTGCAAACTGATAAACTCCTGAATGCATTTCTTATACTGCATCTCAGTATGGTTATTAGTAGAATATTGACCTGGCTGTCCATAAAGTCCTTCTGATTCCCGCATCTCTTCATTCATTCTTGCTAACCGTAACCTGGAATTACACAGAACGATTTATTTAGATGTTACATAATATAAATATTCATTAACTAGTCATTATAAAATCAGATTATACATGTACTAAAGAATTTTCGTTTACTAGTATTCACCACTAAAATCAACTGCACTTTAGCTTATTAAACCAGCAACGCGATATAAAACAATAACATTAAACACCTTTATCTCACAAAGATTCCCGACAAATATATTTCGCCTCTATATAAGCAGGATCCCTGCAGCACCTTCAGAAGCTTGCTTCTTCCTCCAACACCAGAGTTCCTGGGGCCTACAAAAACTTTTTAAGAGCCAGCTGCTGGAATCATTGGCTCCACAATGTGCAAGCATCGCCCATCGTCAGTTTACTCTGATTCACCCTGAGGAAGGTGGTTCCAGGTCTATAAATAGAGTGTGTTGTCTCTAAATAGAGATGCTTTGGAACTTAGGGATATATTTTCATTTATAAAATTTCTACTAAGTGACTACAGATTACTAGTATTTCACCAAAATTACTATACTGCGTATGTATTCTCTTTCGGGTTACTAGCCCTGGTAGCAGTGAGATGTGTCACCTTAGTTAGAAGAGTGAAACCCTCCCATATTCTTGCTGACTTTCAGCAACATTCTGTCTTCAGTAGCCCTTACGGTTCAGCTGTCCTCGCGGGCCCACTGCCTTCCCTCTTCACACACGCTCGCTCCGGCAACTGCAGCCCCTAGCGCGAGCACTTCCCGTCTTCAAAATGCCGCAATACTCTTCCTCTCTCCTCTCAGCCAAAGCACACATTCATCACCCGTCTGCCTGAATTTTCTTCGGGGAGATTTGTAAGAGAAGCTGTTTCTTATCACTTGGGCATAAACATGTTTTAGAAAGCGGGTCATGAGTACACAGCAATTGCTTAGGAAGCTGCATCCAAACGTCATGCCTCCACATTATTCCTCTTTTTTTTTTCTCTTTAATACCTTCTCTTTCTTTGATCCTAAATCTATTGGTTTTGATAGTTATAAACTTTTCAATATATAGTTTCTGTCACAAAACCACTACCTCTAGTGTGCAAAGGGCAGAGTACAGGGTTTGCGGCTTTGTTTTGTTTGGGTATGGATTGGGCGGGGGGTTAAAGTCGGGTGACATATGGCAAGTCAGGAACTCTGGGGAAGCTCTGCCGGTTCAAGTCAACTGACAGGATTATCTTGTAAATGACTGAGATTCCATAAGGTAGATGGAACAATACCCACTCAAATGACAAGGAGCATCAATGCTGGGCTCCCTAAAAACAAAAATACAATGAGAAAGCAACTTCGTACCAAAGTGTTCTCAGGGTTTCCTATATAACACCGAAATGTACAGCCAATCTCAGCTCTAGCTTCCCAAGGTGATAAACGACTTTGATTTATGGTTAAAATCTAAGTACGACCTCAAATTTCTTTCTTTAATATATTACATTAAATTTTATTCAAGCATTAAACATCAAGGATGTTTATTTTATAATCATTCTTTCTATGTGAAAAATTATTTGAAGGGCAACAGTTACAGCTGCCCTCCTTACTTAGAATCCTCTAATTCTTGAGGAACTAAAACACTGACTTGTCACTCGAAAGCCTTCCTCCGGTGCTATCTTGAGAGTTAACGAACCCATTCTAGGGCAGTCACGGGGTTCCTCTGCCGCTGGTCATGCAGTAGGACTTGCCTCCGAAAACAAGCTTGGAAATCAGACTTCTTGGTTTCGATCCCAACTGCACCACTTACTAGCCACTGGGATCTTAGACAGGCTTACAAATGACCTATGGCTTGGCTTATTTGTGAAATGAGAATGACAACAATTACACCTCTCACTTGTAAGGGCTGTTGTGAGAGCCAAAAGTTTATACTTTAAAAAAATGTAGAGAAGGATATAACATATAATATTTGGAAATATTACTTTTAAACCTGGTCCATATGCAAGAAACCCAAGGTTAACATCCTGTTGAAGTAATACACTGTATGCAAAAGATTCAAGTAAAAAGAGAAATCCTTACAAGGTTACTATGTCAGCATTGGCTGCTTCCACGGCTATACTCAAAGGATCTTTCCCTTCTTCATCAGTGGCATGTTGATTGGCACCTCGCTTTAAAAATAAACACACCTGCCTGTTTAAGGAAACAGTATTTTAAAACAAGAAAAAAAATTACTATTCACCATAAAATAACAATAAAAACATTACCTAACTTAAATATCACTTTCATTAGGAATTATTAGATTCATTCTATAAATATCTATTCAACGTGAACTGTAATATTTTACAAGTTTCAAGGTAGTTTCATGCCTACTACCTTACTTGAACCGCCGTTGAGTCAGAATTGACTTAACGGCAACTAACAACAACAACCCTCAAGAACATCATACAAATATATACAGACAGATACCTGTGACACTTACGCAAAACAACAACTGCTCCACTCATTATTTGGGAATTAAGAGAAGCAAAGGCTATGGTGTCACAATGTCTTCACGATAATACAAAAGCAAAGACAGGGAGGTAGTCCCCCTGCTACCCCCGCAAACACTCATCGTAACTTTAAAAAGCAGACCAGAAATGGGATGAGAAAATAAGCATGAGTAAATGGAGTCTATGAAGTACCACAGGAAGACTTAAAGGTGTTTAATTTATGAAAAGAAATATGAAGGAATGAATTAAAAGCCATGATTTCAGTGGCTGGGTAGAAGCAACATGGCAGCCGAGCCCAAGTCCAAGTTATCCAAGAATCCCCTGCACGTGAAGTTCATGCAAAGAGGATTAGACTCTGAAACCAAGGAGCAGCTGGAAGGAGGTAAAGATCACTGGTACTTGGATCTGCCAGAGCTTAAAGAGAGAGACTCATAATCGAAAGCAGAGCTTTTTGTCACGCGGAGACTTTCTCTAGGGAAGAACGTCCTTCAGAGGAGTAATCCTGAAGTTGAGAGATGAATGCTTCAGACGAACTCCAAGAGCAACACCCAAGAAGCTGAAGCTAAAGTAGTGCAGGTCGCTGTGTCAGATGAAGACATGGCTGGACCGTACGAGAGCCTGGGGGACTATCGGAAAGAAGTTCGCCAAGAAGAGAGACGGGCCAATTACGAAGAAGATGAAACTGGGAACATGAACCTGACTAAAACCAAGAAGATGGTTTTAAAACCCCCGAGATTCAAGTGGCTGCCTGAGGAGACGCCTTGGGGAGCGCAGTCTTTTGGGGGAAGTTGCTCTGCCTGTTGCACTGTCATTTTTGGATACTCTGGTGTGTATTTGGGACAAGTGCACACTTTGGAAAGTTGTTCCCAAAACAGATGTATGCTGGATGTTAAACATCCTTTTGCCTGAATGGGGTTCGTTGAGAAGGGGTTTTACCCTCTCGAGCTTCAAAGGTACATAGTTACAAGGTAGTTTTCATAAAGACTTTTGTGACGTGGGATTTTTTTAAATAGAGCTCTGTGAACCCTGTCCTTCAATAAGTTGATCTCAATGTTTAAATTGCAAAAACAAACACGATTTCTAGTTTACTAGTTCCTAGTTTAGTGTCATTTACCCTGACACCAGAAGAACTAGATGCCTAGGTACCACTAATGACCGTTCTACTCAGATCAGTATTGATGGACCCTGAAAGAAAAGGGGAAAGGTGTGATGGACAGAACTCAATTGTTAAAAAAGCCTATACTTAGTGAGCCAGTGAAGACCAGAAGGTTGCTCTGAAACTAGAGCTCTGAGATATTCTCTAAACCTCGAACTGAAACTCTCCCATGAGATCACATTTGTACACACGTAAATTAACTATTGTACCAAAAACATACTTATAAAATCAAAAGCTCAAAATTACCCTAAAGCAAATATGAGAACCATGGGAACAAGAGTAGGGAAAATGAAACAACCAGAAAGTAATTACAGAAAATGTTGATGCACTATGGAAATGTAACTAATGTCTAGCAATATTTGTACCATATATATCCGAGTATAAGCTGACCTGATTATCCACCGAGGCACCCAATTTTACCACAAAAACTGCATTAAAACTGTGCTGAAAACTTGGCTTATACTCGTGTATATATGGTATATCAACCCAACTGCCACTCAACCAATTCCAACTCATAGTAACTATTTAGGACAGGTTAGAAGTGCCCCTGTGGTATCTGAGGATGGAAATGCTTATGGAATCAGAAAGTGTCATCTTTCTCCTGCAGAGTGGCAGGTGGAGGTGAATGCCTGACCTTTGGGTTAGCAGCCCAACATGCTACCCACCACACTGGGAACGTAGTTCATTGTGCAAGCTTTCATCAAAAACATAATAAAATGTTACTTTAAAAATAGTAACAATAAATAGAGCCTTTGGAAATGACCCCAAAGGCAAACAGCAAATGAGGAAACATCTATTCCAGAAAATGTATGGAAGTTTTATAAGAAAGAGTCTGGCATCTCAACAAAGACTGCTCCCTTCTTCTCCACCTCCCAGCCCAGCAGGCACAAACTGCACTCCAGAGTGCTTCAGCCAACACCGCAGGATTCCCGCTTCCTCCACTCCCAGGAGGAACCGGACTTCTTCGTTTCTCATATTGCCCTTTATCTTGTTGCTGCTGAGGCTGCGTGCTAGGTGATCGGGGTCAAGAGGTGGGGCTTCCTTCTTGCACCCGACTCACTCTCACGAAGGGAACCAGGCACACTGAGAATACGGAGACGGGATAGCTCTTCCCCATGCTCATCAGGCAGCGATGCCCACTCGGGATGGTGCACGGAGAGGGCCTACCGCTCATCCCTCCAATGAGTCCTCAACTCTTGGACCTGAGTTAGTTTTTTTATTTTACTTTATTTCAAATTCTATCATAAGTCCTAGAAAGACATCACTTTACAAACTTCACTTAATGGCTTTAACCTGAATAAAAGGTAAACACTTATTTTGAAACAATTTTTCCAGTAAAAGCTCCACAAATACCCAAGCACTGCAGTTAAATTTACCCCGTGTGCCCCAAGACAGTGGCGTGGTGCAGTGGTCCTCGCCCTTGCACATCTCTTTGGTTCACATTCGCACCGTTCTGCAGGAGGAACTCGCAGGTCACCAAAGAACCCTTTGAGGAGGAAAAAGAGGATTATGATATCCAAAGAAACCAGAATATATTTCTATTTAAAAATAGTATATTAAAAATATGATGTAATAAGGTAACAACATTTATTTTACTTAAATCTTTCCAATTTACTCTCTCCAAAAACAGAAAATACCTCCCAACACAACTACTCCCAGGAAAAATTCAATTTGCCATTTGTGATCTAGCAAAAACACAGCACTTCCATGATCAGAATCTTCTTCCACTAAGAAAAAAAGTGAGCTTAAATAATCAAATGTGATGCTCAGAAATCACTAGTAGCTGCACTGGCGCTTCTTCTATTTCCCAACTCATCTCTTACAGCAAAATAACACGACTAACAAAGCTATGTTCAACATGACTAGTGACTTTGAAAACATTTTACTGCCACTGAGAACTCGGAGGTACAGATTCATACCCCTAACACGGCCTGCATCAGCGGTGTTGCTTTGTTTTCCTCCACATTGGCCCAGTTGACATCTGCGCCATGCGCCAAGGCCTCAGCCATTTTCGGAAGGTTTTTTTCATATGACGCCCTATAGAGCTGAAGTCCTGGATTAAGATGTTGAGAATCAAGATACACAGAAGAATCCTGCCTTTCTCCTTCTGAAAAGCAAACAGAGATACGCCAGTAAAAACAAGCTCTTGCTGGACGTGAAAGCAGTGGACTACAGAACGTAATCAGCCACGTAGTGACAGAAGATAATAATGCGGTAGAGTAGATCCATGAGAAATATTTCTGGAACCACACAAAAGCCAACACTTAATAGTGAAAACCGGGTTCTAAGTGCTTTTCACCTACAGCTCCCATTCTGAAGTAACCACATTATGTTCAAAGGCCACAACTGATGAGGAGCTTCCGACTCCTAGCAGCCCTGTGAAGGACAGAATGGACATCCTCCCGAGGGCTTCAGAGACTCTCCATCTTTACAGACCAGACCACCTCCTCTTACTCCCAAGCCCCAATCTCTCAGTAAGCAGCTCAACATTGAGCCCACTCGGGCTCCTTAACTCTATGATGTACATTTTATAGACCATGGAAGTGATGCACAGAGAAGTGGTTATATGGCAAGGGAGTAGCACAGCGGGAAGACCCAAGGTGGGGCTTGGGAATCTAGGGCTGTTTTAGCTAGAATGTACGAGTTAACTTTCACTTTCTGAACATTCCCCTCATCAATAAAGACGTCTTTTAACTCAGTTGCTGCAGTTGCCGTTGTTGAGTGCTGTCAAGTCCATTCTGATTCATGGCGACGCGATGTACAGTGGAACAGAACACTGCCCCACCCTGGGCCATCCTCACAATTACTGAGCCCACTGCTTTGGCCAGGGTGTCAATTCACCTCTTTCCTACTGACCCTCCACTGTACCCATCATACTGACGTCCTCCTCCAGGTACTGGTCTTTCCTGCTGAGATCCCCAAAGCATGGGAAAGGAGTTCTTGCCATCTTTGCTTCTTCTTCCAAGACTGACCACCTTTGTTCTTCCAGCAGTCCACAGTATTTTCAATAGTCTTCACCGAAAACAAAGAACAATTTAGACCCATCAATTCCTCAGCAGTCTTCTTTATTCACTGTCCAGCTTTTACATGCATATGAGGTGATTCAAAATACCGTGTCTTTGGGGAGGTGAACCTTAGTCCTCCATGACATCCTTCTTCGATACTTCAAAGAAGTCTTGTGCAGCAGATTTCCCCAATGCACACCACCATTTGATTTCTTGATTAATGTTTCCATGAGTGTTGACTGCGGATCCAAGCAAAATGAAACCTTAACAACTTCAATATTTTCTGTCCATCATGATGTTGTCTATTGGTCCAGCTGTGAGGATTTTCCCCCCTTTACACTGAGTTGTAATCCACACGGAAAGGTACATTCTTTGATTTTCATCAGCAAATGCCTTTAAGTTCTCCTTGCTTTCAGCAAGTAAGGTTGTGTCATCTGTATACCACAGGTTCTTATTAAGTCTTCCTCCAATCCCAATGCCATGCTCTTCCTCATATAGTCCTGCTTCTCAAAGATTATTTGCTCAGCATATAGACTGAATAATTAAGGTCCAACCCTAATGCATACCTTTCCTGATTTTAAATACAGTATTTACTTATTCTGTTCACATAATTGCGTCTTGATTCACGTAGAGGTTCCACAGGAGCACAATGACGTGTCCTGAGATTCTCATTCTTCTCCAGACATAGCCATAGTTTTGTCATGGTCCACATGGTGGATCGCAGTCAATAGAACACAAGTAAACATCTTTTCTTCATTCTCTCTTTTCAGCCAAGACCCATCTGGCATCAGTTAAGATATCCCTCATTTCACATCCTCTTCTCAATCCATCCAGAATTCTGGCACCTTCACATCAACCTATTAATCTGCAACTTCTACTTGCAAGTGAGAAAGAGACCCTGGGTTGCACAGTTAACGCATTCAACTACTTAGCTGAAAGCTTGGCAGTTCATATCCACCCGGAAGCACCTCAGATTCTGATTCCAAAAGGTCACCGTGTATTCTGCTACATATCTGGTTGACATGAATTGGAAATGAGTTGACGGTAACTAAGTATAGCAGCAGACCAATGATGGAGTCAATTTTGTTCATCTGTAACTTGTTCATTTTATTTTCCTCTTTGAATGTTGCTCATAAAGCCACAATTAGAGTATATATCAATCTGATTCAATATAGTAAATACGTATGAAACTTTTTTAATGAGCTCTTAGTTGTATCAAAATACGGAAGCTGTAACATATGAAAGTACTAAGTTATTATAACAAGCTGATGGGCATTTTTTCCCATGAGATTTTTTTTAATTACTCTTAAGACTTTACTTTTTTCCTTTTTAAAAAAAATCATTTTATTGGAGGCCCATACAACTCTTATCACAATCCATACATCCATCCATCGTGTCAAGCACATTGGTATATTTGCTATCATCATTCTCAAAACATTTGCTTTCTACTTGAGCCCTTGGTATCAGCTCCTCATTTGACCCCTCCCTCCCCTCCCTCATGAACCCTTGATAATTTATCAATTATTATTATTTTTACATGTCTTACACTGTCCAACATCCTCATGAGATCTTTAATCTCATATACTGAAAGGTTAAACCCTCAACTCCCAACCCATCCATCAATTCCCAGAAAGACAAGCCTGGCACATTGCGTTTCCAAAAGACTACAGCCCTGCAAGTCGTACGGAGCAGTTCTACTCTGCACCCGCGGGGTCCCCGTGAAGCCAACCATCAGCAACTCACACAGCATCATTTCCCAAACACCCAACCTGCAGTCTCTTGGAGAAAGAAAGGCCTCGATTGACAGACCAGGCCTTTGTAGTTTGTCTAGGGCAGTGCTCATTGTGCATCTTAATTACTATTTAAAGTTGGGATACAGACTCCTAGAAACCTGGATGTAAACCCTCAGAAGCAGTAACAAGAACCCAGAAGGAATTTTACTACTAGAACAAACCTCACTCCTCACCTAGGATGTTTTTTCTAAAACCATAACAAACAGCAGTGCAAGCGTTCAAATAACATGATGGATTCGCATTGCCTGCTGTTCTGAAACACTCACATCATGGAAGGACGAGAGGAATAAGCACAGATCAGAAGGAAAACCCACAGGGGGGGAGTTGCTACTTACTTTTCCTTCAGAAGACAAAGAATAATACAAATACTAATACTAATATTTTCATAGAGAATGAAAAGCCTCCTTAGCTAGTGGCAGGGCACTTGGGGCAGATACTGTGAGACCTTGAAGAATGGACACCTGGAAAAGGACTCCTCCAAATATGGTGGCGATACCAGGAGGGCAGGGGGAGGGGACGAAAAGAGGAGGAAGGGAAACCGATCGCCACATAAACACCCCACCCCCAGGGGGACGAACAACAGAAACTGTGGGGGGAAGGGGACAGCAGTTGGTGTAAGATATGAAAATAATAATTTATAATTTATCAAAGGGTCACGAGGGGTGAAGGGGGGGAGACAAGAGGAACTGATACCAAGGGCTCAATAGAAAGTAAATTTTTAGAAAATAATGATGGCAACATATGTAAAACATGCTTGATTGATACAACTGATGTATGGACTATTATAAGAGCTGTAAGAGCCCCCAATAAAATTATCTTTTAATTTAAAAAAAGAATAAAAGTCACCATGACCTACAAAAAAAAAAAGAACAGAAATACTGGCATTCACATTTCATGGCACTACTTCTCATAGGCCAGCCACTCTCTTTAGAACCTACTGCATTAATATGTGGCAGTTACCACTTGTGCATTTTGGCAAACAATATCTATTAGCATCGGACAGCCCCAACACTCACCCGACTCATATAAACTATTGGCTGACACCATGGATGGTAGAGACTCTCTTCCATCGTCAGAGCTCTGTTGGATTCCACTGTCATTACTTTTGACTGTTTCAAAGAAAAATCAGTAGTAATTAAAGCTCAAATCATTTCAAGAATAATGCCCACAAACAACAAGGCTTTGAAACAAGTTCGTACACATCTGTGCAAACTTAGCCACCACCAGTAGAATGCATCCAATACAACTTTAATCCTTTTGCACTTTACTTATCAAGATAGGAATGATGGCAAAGCCTGAAAATAAACATTGTGCCCCATAATAGGTCTGACACAGTAAAGTTGAATTTATTGGATGACAGAAAGGGTGCAATTCTGAGACAATGAGAAACATCTAGAGAAATGGCCACACCGCACAATGACCACTGGCACAGACTTGGAATGCTCCACAAGAGTAGTACTTACTACTACGCAGTTTTGAAGAAGTATCAAAGTAGGAGAAGAGTGAATCTAGCTCATCAGGACAGAACAGAGACTCCCGCCTGGCCTCGTCGCTATTAACAGCAACCACTAGGGACATGCAAGTTAGCAAAGCACAAAGCAGGCAGTAAGAAGGGAAAAGGGCAGGAAAAAAACGTTATTGGGAAAATGTAGGAGGAAAAAATAGGAAGGAGAATAGGTAGTTAATAAGATACTTAAGGGTCTTTGGCATGGTAGACTTATATTTCCCATCTCCCCTTGCATTTTATGCAGCATTATTCCTGAGTATATAAATGCTTAGTACCTAGCAATGGGGAAGACTATGGCACTATTTAAACTAAACGGTCCTAAAGACATCGAAATCCAGTTATTTCCTTAAAATGTATATAAGGAAAAATGCATTTAACATTATATACATATAAATCTACATTGGCTATTAATTCAGAAAATACAAATGCAATTTTCAGCCTTAAAAATATTTATTAAAAAAAATGTATTTATATACACAACAAACAAGATGTAATACCTGCGCTTTGGGCGGCGACTCTGACTTGGTCTCCTGGCCCCAGTTTGGAAATGCTCAGCCTCTTTTCCTCGGAGCTTTTGGAGACAGTGTGTTTTTGCTGCTCGGGAGGTGATGATGACACAGAGTATTTGTCCACAAATTTCCTCTCCACATATTTTGCTCTGATATATGCCTCTTTTTCCTGTCTGGTATATTAAAAATGACATGAGATTCTGCTATATCCCTTAGCATGATTAATACAGAAAAGAATCATTACATATCGATTATTTTCACAGAAAGCCACTAAATACGGTATTGGTTAAAAGCGAACCTGTGCTACTATGCAACGTGAGTTGCTTCACAATGTTTAATTGCCTATGAATTTACAGTGAAATGAAATACAAATAATAACATAATTGAAAAAAGATCAAAAGATTAACATGGTACTCTTTTATTCTCTTAATTCTTGTGCTCATTCATTTCTATTGCATATACCTCCTCATGCTTTTCACAGAATGAAAAACATTGCCAAAAAGAATACAAAAATTTCAAGCAATTAACTTTACTTTCATATTTACTCAAAGAGGAAATAATATAAAAAACAATATCCCACAACATATAACTACTGAAAGCCAAACTTTTCCATAAGGCAAAGCTTTAAAATGCTATAATATAAACCTACTCCTCACAGACTTGGTTAAGATAAAAAAATCAGGTTGTTATGTGAAAATTAGTTATTTTGTGAAAATAGAGGATAAGCACATCACCTCACCCTCCTCACCTGTACAGTAAGTGTCCTGCAAGTTCTCTGTTGAGGTCACCTGCCACTGCCACCTCCCCATCCTCTGCATACTACTTCAGGAGAGCTCAGTCCCCACCACTGTCCAGGGGAGGACTGCCTAGTTTTCCGGAACGCCGACCCCTTCTCCATCCATGGAGCCACCTCCCTTTCCTGTCCCAGCTGTATTTTCATGATGGATGGTGTGATATGTCAACTTGAAGATACATGAAAGCGTAGGGGTGGTGTCCAACCTGTCAACCGGGTCACAGCCTGATGGTGCCTCCTTCTGGAGGCATGGGCTTCTCCTAACGAGGGCCCGGGAAACACCCTCTCTCTCTACCTTCCCTTGTCAGACCTCTTTCTGTCTCTAATGAGACTAAGACACCTGTATTATTAAAAGAACTTATCTCTGATTGCAGAGGAATGTGTAAACATGTTTTGTTTGGAATAAGCTCATTCATATATGAACCAGAACACTAGTATCAATACTTTCTTACGTACCCTCATTTAATAAGAGTTTGGTCTGGTGACACAGTGGTTAAGTGTTTGGATGCTAACCAAGAAGCAGATGGTTCAAACCCACTAGCCACTCCCTCCATGGAAGAAAGATGTGTCTGCTTCTGTGCAGATGAAAAGCCTTGGCAACTTAAGGGGCAGTTCTTACACTGTCCTATAGGATCACTATGAATTGGTATATATCTATCTGTAAGTATAATTTCAAATATAGAAATTAAGCATTCTCCTCTACCAACAGCTATTCTTCATTTTTTTATTCTTCAACATCATTATGTCATGCATAAGGTATGTGATTAACAAATATTTGCTAAACTAAGTAAAAAAATGTGAAATTATTCATTGTAGGTAACAGAAACTTGATCCTTAGACATTAGTGAACAGAGTATCTCTTTTTAAAGGCCTGCTACTAACAGAACTTTGTTCCACTTTAATCCCTAAGAGCTTTTACATTTCTATGTAGTATCTTAATTTTTAAGAATTTCAATCTTTTAGACACTATAATTAATGATCTCAATAAAATACAACTATCTAATTAACAAGACTAAGAAAGATATTTCTATATTGGAACAGAAGCAGTAATGATCACTTCTAGACACTCACTGTTCTACTTCATTATTATTTATTAACCATAATTACATCAAATTATCACTATATTCCTGCTTAGAAAAAAAAAAGGTAACACATTAGAACAACTGGAGTAGTACCTCTGTCCTGGTTGTGGCTTCTTTATCCCCATTTTTTCCACTTTAGCTTCATAAACTCGATTTATAACATCATTCCCCAACTCACACATAAGCTGTATGGAAGAAAAGTCATAAATCAAAATATGTGCGTTTGTGTGTGTGCACGCGCACGCGCCCTCTTAATCCTTAAAAGAAGTATGACTGCTCCTTGCTGCTGACTCCCTGGTCACTCCCCTCTCTTCCCCCCCTCCTCTCCAGTCCTCTCTCCCTTGTTCCCTTGACCTCCTTCCCTTCCCCTCTCTCCACATGGACCACCAAGCTGGGCTGAGCCTCTTCGCTCTGGTCTCTGAGTGAGGAATAGCCAAAGGCGGTTGACCTTGTCTGGGAGCACACTGAAGAAACCCCTAGGCTGAGCACTGCTCGATATCTCTCTCTCCAGGGATGCCAAGGTTGCATGCTGAAAGCATCCTGGCTGAGTCATTCGAAGTGTGAACTGGGTAATATTTCGGGAGAGTGATCTGATGTGCTGTGTCAAAAATTTAGCTAAACAGATTCAGCAATACCATTTCTAGGAATATATCTCAACGAAGCAAATGACTTCATAGACAATGTATAAGGATGTGTAAACAACCAATACACTTAATAGCAAAACACACCAACGAAGGAACAAGAAGAACAGAAACCTGCCAGAATAATCATCACAAAAGATTAAGTAAACTATTTTGTACTCTACAGTCTATAGTATGTAAACATCAGACTGATGAGTTACTGACATGGAGAGCAATGGATATAGAATAAAGAGTTGCTTTTAAAATGACCAAAAAAAAAGAAGTATGACTAAATAGTTCGTGCACATTATGCAATTTCTAACTTCACAAATGTAAACGTAAGAGGAGACAAGAGTAAACTGAACATACTGCAGGACAGAGGAGAACTGCCGCCGAGGATTTCTCAGGCTGTAATCTTACAGAAGCGGCTGTCACATCTCCCTCCTGTGGAGAGCCTTGGGGGTTTGTACTACTTACTTTCCAGGTAAGCCAAGTGCGGATTAACTGTGTCTGTGGATTACCTCCCTTTTAAAACAAGGTTTCTATTTCAACTAATCCTTCTTTCCATCCATATATCCATGTCAGGACAAAATTAATGACATTATTTTATATTGTCTGTATAATAAGGTATATAAGTACTGGCCATCACCAATCTCAGGACAGTAAGTTAAAAGTTAAATATATTTAGGCAGTCCCAAGGTTACCAACAAGTTGTTGTCTTTCAATCACAAGTGTAAGTGAATCAGAATAGGTGCCCACAGCTCTTATTGGATCTTCCTTTAGTGCAGTCACAGAAGTTCTGGCGATACTGCTGCTGTGGGTTAGGGAGTAGGCTGCTAACCACAAGGTCATCAGTTCAAAACCACCAGCTGCTCCATGGAAGGAAAATGAAGCTGGCCTCTATCCTAAAGACTTATAATCTTTAAAATAAAAAAAAACTTTTAAAACCTCCCTGCTATCGAGTCAATAACCATTCATAGCAGCCCTATAGGACAGGGTAGAACTGTCCCTGTGGTTTCTAAGACTGTAACTCTTCATGGGAGTAGAATTCCCTGTTTTTCTCGGAGGACCAGTTGGTGGTTTCAAACTGCTGAACTTGTGGTTAGCAGCACAATGTGTAACCATTACGCCACCAGGGCTCCTTTTAGTCTTGGAAACCCTACATGGATAGGGTCGCTCTGAGTTAGAATGGACT